GTCTGCTTCTCCCTCCGCCCCTCCCCCTTGCTCATGCTCTCTCCTTCTCTCAAATAAGTGAATACAATTTTAAAAAGAAATCACTGCCCGGGGTGCCTGGGTGGCTCAGTGGGTTAAAGCCTCTGCCTTCAGCTCAGGTCATGATCCCAGGGTCCTGGGATGGAGCCCCACATCAGGCTCTCTGCTCACCAGGGAGCCTACTTCCCTTCCTCTCCCTCTGACTGTCTCTCTGCCTACTTGTGATCTCTGTCTTTCAAATAAATAAATAAAATCTTTTAAAAAATGGCACAAATTTATTTAAAAAAAAAAATCACTGCCTAATCCCCATTCACAAAGATTTACTCCATATGTATTTTAGGAGTTTTAGATTTTAACTCTTAACATTTGAGTCTTAGACCCATTTTCAGTTATTTTTGGTATATGGGGTGAGGTAGGGCTCCAACTTCATTCTTATGCACATGGATATCCTAGTGGTCCCACTACCATTTGTTGAGAATGACACTGTTGTTCCCCCCATTTAGTAGTTTTGGTGCCCTCAATGAAACTCAGTTGGCCATAAATCAGAGGGTTTATTCCTGGACTCTCCCCTTTATTTAATTGATCTATGGCCCTTTTTACACCAATACCACACTGTCTTGATTACTGCTCCTTTGTAGTGAGTTCTGAAATCAGAGAGTGTGAGTTCTCCAACTTTGTCCTTTTTAAAAAAATATTTTATTTGGGTGCCTAGGTGGCTCAGTGGGTTGAAGCCTCTGCCTTCGGCTCAGGTCATGATCTCAGGGTCCTGGGATCTAGACCCACATCGGGCTCTCTGCTCGGCGGGGACCCTGCTTCCTCCTCTCTTTCTGCCTGCTTCTCTGCCTACTTGTGATCTCTGTCAAATAAACAAAATCTTTTTAAAAATATTTTATTTATTTATTTGACAGAGAGAGAGATCACAAGTAGGCAGAGAGGCAGGAAGAGAAAGAGGGGGAAGCAGTCTCCCCACTGAGCAGAGAGCCCAATGCGGGCTGGATCCCAGGACCCTGAAATCATGACCTGAGCTGAAAGCAGAGGCTTAACCCACTGAGCTACCCAGGTGCCCCCAACTTTGTTCTTTTTCAGGATGGTTTTGGCTGTTCTGGTTCCTTCTGTTTCTAGGTGTCATATTCTAAATTTTTTTTAAAAAAGATTTTATTTATGGATTCATTTAGAGAGAGAGAGATACTGGGAGGAGGGAGAGAGGGAGAGAATCTCAAGTTGACTCTGTACTGAGTGAGTGCAGTGTAGGAATGGGCTGGATCTCACCACCCCCAAGATCATGACCTGAGCAGAAATCAAGGGGCTGAAGCTTAACAGACTCAGCCACCAGGAGCCACTCTTTTCAATCCTTTTGAAAACAAATCTCTATTTTAAATTTTACATCATCGAGAAAACACTGCACAGCAATTATTTTCCTGGGTCTCTGCCTTTTCACTAAACTCTACATCGTAAACCACGCCCTACTGTTATAGTATTTCTATGCCATTGGCTACACAATTTAGTTCTTTTCTTTTTTTAAGATTTTATTTATTTGACAGAGAGATCACAAGTAGGCAGAGAGGCAGGCGGAGAGAGACGGAGAAGCAGGCTCCCTGCTGAGCAGAGAGCCAGATGTGGGGTTCGATCCAAGGACCGTGAGATCATGACCCGAGCCAAAGGCAGAGGCTCAACCCACTGAGCCACCCAGGCGCCCGTAGTTCTTTTCTTGGTGGACGTTGCGGTTCTAAATCCCGCTATTATAAATACTGCCGGGTGGCTGGCTTTCTTCCTAACATTTGGGAAATATGGGTGAAAAGCAGATAGGAATGTTTTTACACGTTTTTGCAACTTTCCTATAGGTGTGAAATTATGGAAACAAAACGGCAGACAGGGGTGCCTGGGTAACACAATCGGTTAGGGGCTGACTCTGGATTTCAGCTCAGGTGGTAGATCTCAGGATCCCGCCAGACCCAGTCCCTCCTTCGGGCCCACGGGTCCCTCCCTCGCCCACCGGTCCAGCCCCACCCACAGCCCACAGGCGCCGGACGCTTGTCGTTCTCCGACCACCTAGTGCGGTGGGGACCCAGACTACAGCGCGGAGCTGCTTCCCTGGACGCTCGGCGGGAGGCGGCCTGAGCGGCCCCAGCATCAGCTCAGCTGCCGCCAGGTGGCCCCTCGCCAGCCCCAGGTGCGGGGACGGCCCCGCCTCCACGCCGCACGGCTCCCGGCCCCTCCGCTCACCGCGACCCTCCCCAGCCCCGCGGGGACCCCTCGATCCGCCCGCTCCCCTTCGCCGGGCCGGAGCCCGCCGCCTTCCGGCTGCGCGACCTCAGCCTTTGCGGAGCGAAGACGCTGCCCCTCTCCAGAAACCCCGCTGCCCTGACACCCCGGTCCCTGCGCCTCCCTGCTGTTGCCCTACAGCTGCTACTGGAAGGACCCCAGCCCCCGGCTCCGGGCAGGTGCAGGTGCGGGTCCCGTGGGGCCGGCCGGTCCTCCGACTCCTGGCCCCTCTCTGCACTGAGAGATCCACAGGGACGTCTCAGGGACCCAAATTCACAGAGACCCCTGCTCGGGTGCGCTAGAGTTTCTGTCGCGGGGAGCGGGAGAGCAGCAGTGGGAACTAACAGTGACGGGAGGGCTGTTGCGTGGGTGGAGCGTGCGACGGGGAGATGCGACCCGGGGGAGGGGGCGCTGCAGGTGGTTACGCAGGAACCCTCGGGGCTCGAGCGCCTACGACCAGCGCTGCGTAAGGCAGATGTGAGCCGGGGCGCGCTCGTTCTGCTGGGGAAGCTGGGGGCCCGCGGCCTGCGGGCCGCGCGCGCCCCCTGCCGGCTTCCGGCCGCCTCGGCCCCGGTGCGCGCGGCGCGAATCCCCGGAGCCAACGCGCGGAGGCCGTGCTCACCCGACACGCGGAGCGTGCTGCCGCTGTCGCAGTTATGATTACCATCTTCTCGGTGACAGCGCCGGTGCCGGGGGCAAGGACGCTGGGGGCGGGCCCTTCCGGCCGCGGGGAGCATGGGAGTTGGTGGTCCTCCCCATGAGCCGCGGTCTCCCTTCTAGAGCTTCGACCCAGGAAAATCCAGGGCAATTTACGGGATTGCTGACCAGCTGGAGAGGACCAGGTGCAGCCGGCGGCAGGTGTGCGGGATGCATGGGCTTCCGTCCCCGTAGCGGCGTGCTGCAGTCCGTAAAACCGGGTTGGAAACACATTCGTAATTAAGAGAAAATGACCTGGGGACGCCTGGGTGGCTCAGTTGGTTGGACGACTGCCTTCGGCTCAGGTCATGATCCCGGAGTCCCGGGATCGAGTCCCGCATCGGGCTCCCAGCTCCATGGGGAGTCTGCTTCTCCCTCTGACCTTCTCCTCGCTCATGCTCTCTCTCACTGTCTCTCTCTCAAATAAATAAATAAAATCTTAAAAAAAAAAAAAAGATAAAATGACCTGGATCATCCCAGTTTTCTGAATATGAAAAATATCATAGGGGCGCCTGGGTGGCTCAGTGGGTTGAGCCTCTGCCTTCGGCTCAGGTCATGATCTCAGGGTCCTGGAATGGAGCCCCGCATGGGCTCTCTGCTCAGCAAGGAGCCTGCTTCCCCACCCTCCCCTGCCTGCTTGTGACCTCTCTCTCTGTCAAAGAAATAAATAAAATCTTAAAAAAGAAAATTATAGACATATCTAGATGAGTTACTGGAAATATCTGTAATATATTTTTCATAATCAGTATGTATTTATTTCAATGAACATGAATTACCCTTTTTTTTTTTTCAGCTTGAAGACCAATACATTCATTATGTTTGGAAGGAAGTGTATAGTCATCCTATTTACCTTTTTTTTTTTTTTATAGGGGAGGGGAGGAGAAGGAGGGTAGAGGGAGAGAATCTTAAGCATACTCCACGCCCAGTGGGGCTCCATCTCATGGCCCTGAGATGGTGACCTGAGCTGAACAGATGGAGCCTCACAGGTACGCTGACTCTTGACTCAGAGCCCCCTTCGCTCTATAATGAAGACCCCCCACACGCACAGAGTGCAGAGACCGAGCGCTTACGTCACTCTGTGATCTCTAAGGATCTTCTGCTCTAACATCTGAGGGAACCACTCTTCACAGGAACACATCAGCTCTCCTCCTGTTTGCCGACACTGTCTCTCCCAGATGGGAGAACCGGTCACTGACCCAGTGTCAGGTCTTGCCAGCACCACGACCTCCCCTATCTCCTCTCCATTAAGGCTGTGGTGGCCTCCTTGCCAGCCTTTCAGAGCCCACGTTGGACGTTTCCAGTCGGTTCCCTTCATGGTGCCTAAGGGCTTTGTAAAATGAGGCTAACCCTGTCCCTCATCTGTGTAAATCCTTCCCCAGCCTCCCACTCCCCATCATGAGCCTGAAATCCTCCCTATGGGCTCCAAGCCCCCAGACCCAGAGCCACTGCCCACCATGTACTGCCAGCGGCCAGGACAGCAGGGACAGCAGGCCCAGCCGCACCAAGTCGCCCCTGGCCAGGCCCCTGTCCCCCTCACGCCTTCTTCACTCTGCCTCCAGGGGGCGCCCCACCACCAACTCCTCGGGCGTTCTTGTCAACTGACCACCAGCCCACCAAGGGGATGACCCAGAGCCACAGGAAAGGAGAAACGTGGTGGGGAGCGGGAATCTATTTAAATATCAAATGAAGACAAAGGAACGTTTCAAACGATGGTTACAGAATATAAATGTAACAACCGCGCTGGAGGGAAACAGGGATAACCTAGCGAGGAGCTGGGCCAGGAGGGGGCTGAGGAACTCCCTTTGCCTAGAGGGGTTCATAGATACAGGCTAAATTTGGGAAAATGATGTTAAAAAACGTAAGGCCTCTGGTCTCAACTTTTTAGAAATAATCCGTCTGTTTCCTTTGCCTGATGGCAGTTTTCACAAAACAAAGACCACGCGAGGTGAAGGAGGCTGAACGAAGCCTTTCCTGTTGGGGGGCCTCCAGGGGTGACACCCAGGTGAATGGAGGGGAGGGGCTCAGGGGCCCAGGAATCTCAGCCCCCAAAACACCCCCAGAAGGAACATGGTAGGGGTATCATACACTTCTATCGGGATCTGCCTGCCATACTGCAGGCCTGCACCCTCCCCAGCAGAACCCCTGGCAGCCACAAACACAGGCCCCCATGAGGGGTGGGGGAAGCTGTCAGGTGGTGGGCTTCCTGGAGGAGGCGAGCCTCCTGATGATCCGGCACCAGCAGGCTGAAGCCTCCTGGGAACAAGCCTGGGAGGGACGATCAGGGAGGGGCCAGAAAGCCTGCCCAGGGGCTCAGGCCTGGGGGTCCCACTGTCCCCCTTTCAGGCCAGGAGCAGCAGGAAGGAGAAAACTCAGAGACCCTACCTAGTCTCTGGGCCAGTGATGGCTCTCCAGGCGGAGGGGCTGGGGTCCTGGGAAAGAGCCCTGGGAGGGCTGGTGGGGTTGCAAGTGGGGTCTCAAAGGACCACAGAAGGGTTTAAAACCGGTCCATAATGGGAACTAGCCTATAGCTTCTTTGATCCTTTTTGAGTTTGTTTTTTTTTTTCTGTTTATAAAAGTAATTTATACTTGATTTGGAAAACATTACACAACGTCTGAGAGTGAAAATCAGTTGCAACTGGGTCCCCAGCAGAAGTCACAGCCAAGTTCACTGACCCAGTAAGGGCATACCCGTGTTTGTCAGAGTTACAGGAGCGTGTTGGGCATGACGGCATCTGCGGTGGGCTCCTCCCCCACCACCTCGGTCCTGGGGGCAGACTGCCCTGCCAACTTTCCATCTTCTTTTCCATCTGGAAGAGAAGGGAGTGGGTCAGTCTGGTGTCCAAGGAAAAGGGCAGCGGGGGTGGGGGGCAACCCAGGGCCTGAAGCTCTCAGCTCAGCTGGGGGATGTTGTGGGATGCTACCGGCTGACTTTCAGAAATCAGAGCTGATTTCAGAGACATGCTCCCCATGGCCACCAGCCCAGGGACAAAGAGGCTGTTAAAGTCATTTCCAGGGAACTTTGGGCCAGATCTGGGCTGAGAACAAGAAAGCCACTGCTACCCCCACCACCCGGCCTGGAATGGTGTAAGAGGTGGGAAGTCTGGGGACCAGGCCTGGAGGTAGACGCAAGGCGACAGGCTGACAGGGCTGTTCACTGCCCAAGAGCACCTGCCTAGGGGAGTCAGTGGGGCTGAAACATAGTCCTAGCTCTGCCCTCCAGCCCTCTAGCTGCGGACGGGTGGTAATTCCTGCCAAGGGGCCATGGCGGGTGGGTGGGGCCCACGTGGTCCAAGAGCCCAGGCAGGTCTGAGACGGGGTGGAAGGGACCAGGGTATGGCCCACCCCCCAGCTCCGGGAGGAGAAGAACAGACTCTGGCCTGACGTTCCCTGCTCCACCCTCTGCGGTGACCAGCTGGTGGCCTCAGAGAGGTGACTTAGCTCCGTGAGCCCCGCCTCCCCACAGATCATGGGTCCCGCTCCCTCCACCCCTAGGACTGGTGGGAGGCAGCAGGCGGACTCGAGGGCGCACTGGGAGCAGGACTGGCCAGCAGGAACACTGAAGGGTGAGCTGGATGGGCTGTGGCGGGGCCTCCAGCTCTGGGGGGATGGGGTCCCCCGACTCCTTGAGCGTGGCTCCCGTCTAGCAGTTGAGGGAAGCTGAGGGCTCCCTTGGGTCCCCCGAAACTCCAGGGGAAGCCATGGTGCTCCCTCCCCTAGGACTTCAGACCACTCACTCCTACCCTTCCATCAGCGCGTGGGGCCCCCTGCACTGCCCCGGCTGAGTGCCCTGGCTGGCTCCAAGGGGGCCACCTGTTCACAGGCAGCAAATGGTGGTTTTATGATCCCCGTCTCCTCAGGGCCCAGCAGACCCCACTTCCAGCTGGGAAGAAACCCAGCTCATCTCTTCCCCAGCCACTGGGCATCCCCTCCCTTGAGCACCCCTCAGGACCCCACGCTCAAAGAATGAATCCATGTTCCAGGGTCACCTGCAGCAAGCCGCGTGGGGCGTGGGGGGCCCGCCTGGGGCCTCAGAGACACAAAAACACATAGACACATAAGAGCAGAATGGACAGAAATAGGCCAAGGACCTACACAGACACACCTGGAGGGACACACAAGCTCACCCTCCCAGGCCAATCCACACACAGACACACGTGTGTGGAGGCCTACAGACACACAGACCAGAGCCTACAGACACGCAGGCCAGAGCCAGCCCAGCCTCCAGATCCCAGGCTCCCAGGTGTCAGGGGACTTCCGGCCCCAGAAAGGTCTTCCTCACACCGTGCACGCTATGACCTCCCGGGGCCTCACCTATGTCCGGCTTGCTGCGTTTCTGCTCAGGCTCCTGGGGGGGCGCCTCGATGGCCCTCTGAGCCTCAGGATGGATCTTGAGGAGGGCTCTGGCGAGGGTGGCAGGGGCAGGCACCCCCAGGGACATGACGCAGTGCACTCCTTTGCGCTTGGCCCCTGCCACCTTGGCACTGTCCTTAGAGGCTGTCAGCAGGACCAGTTTGGAGAACTTTCTGGGCTTCCTGGGTGCAGCAGGGACGACATCTGTGCTTGGCTGAGAGGACTCTGGGGACGTCTCCTGGCCAGACTTCACACTCTCGCCCTCCTGCTCGCTGGGCTCTGGCAGGGGCATTCTGGGATGATGGGTTGTCCCTGCGACCACGCTCAGGACCCAGCAAGTGGAGTTCTCGTCCTCCTCCTCCTCCTCCCTGCTCGGGAAGCTGGCAGTCCAGGGGCTCCGTCCTAAGGAAGGAGGCAAAATCCATGAAGTGCAGAGCCAGGAGTTGGGTCGAGGGGGTTCCAGAGCCCAACCCCACACAGGACCTGGTGTGCCTCATCCAGGATGACAGTAACTGGCCTTCCTGAGCACCAAGCTTCATAGACCAGCACGCGGGTCATGGGCTCAGGTCCCACCCACACCCTCCCAGGATACCCGATGACCCTCCTCCTGACACTGTGTCACAGGGAGACCGAGCTGGGCACCCGCGGGCACTCTGCAGACCACAAAGGGGACGCCTGGCTCTGAGAGGCAGGACTGTCTGGACTCACAACCTGATCTGTCCCCCAGCCTGGGCTGGAGGCCCCAGACCACACAGCACTCGAGAGATGCCGGGACGCCCAGAGGGCAGTGACCTTGTACCTGAGCCGGGGCTGGCACTGCCTCAGCTGGGAGGAGACGGGACGGTAGAGGTGTGCAGAGAATCCACAGTCACTCCAGGATCCCTGACTTCTGGGCTGGAGAAGCAGAAAGGATGTATTACAGGGGCCCCTGGCAGGGCAGTGTGGAGTGGACTTCTGTCTGGTGGGGGCACCTGAGTGGTGGGCAGATGGCAGGGTCTTTCTCAGCGTACAGTGTTAGCCCAGAAACAAGACCTCATCCTTAGCAGGCATCTCCCCTGCCCTTCTTGGCACCCTGGCAACGGCAAGGCTCACAGATACCTACCTACCCCCGACCCAGTTTATCAACCCGGTTTACGGTCCTCACTGTTTCCTGGAACCCTTCCCAACACACATGGCCTGAGGGGGCCATGCCCTGATTTCCAAAGTTTTCCAAGACCCCATCCGTGAGAGGAGTCAGGGGTGTGATTAGGGTGCCTTGTCCCCTGCAAGCGCTCATCTCCAGTCCCTTGGCCACTAGACATAAAAGCAGAGATCTCTTGGGCTGTGACAGATATGGAGACCCACCCCAGGAAGTGGGTGAGCCCTCAAGGAAATCCACCTGGTAACGGGTCACCTGACCAAGGTACCCCTGGGATCAGTGTCTCTGTATCCCTCTTGTCCCCAGCCCCCGAGTTCAACCCTGGGACAAGCCAACCTCTGCTTCCCCAGCATAGTCCTTCCCTGCCCTGCCCATCCTGTCCCCCAGTGTGACATAGCAGTCCTGGAGGAACGTGGGGACCAGCCGCAGAAAAGACACAGCCAAAGCCTCCCCTGCTAGAGCCGCTCTGGGCAGAAAAGTTGATGGCAGAAGCCCCAGCCCAGGCTGTCCGACCCAACCCACACACAGATCGGCTTCAGTGCACATCTTCTGGAGCCAGCCCACTCTTCCGGCTTGCAGGCTCCCCCTGGACCTGGGGATGCAAGCCCGTAGTGTTGGACCCCTTCTTCACACCGTATACAAACATTAACTTTAAAATACTCTTAAGGAAAAAAAGGAGAGAGAGGAGTAAATCTTCATTACATTAAAGCAGGCAAAGCTTTCTCCAACATGACATGAAAAGTACATGCCAAAGAAAAAGAGATAAACCGCACCCTACCAAACTTTAACACTTTTGTGGGAGGACACCAGAGGACACCATCCAGAGGCTCAAGACAGCCCACAGAGTGGGAAAGAATTTTTGCAACTCCTATTTCTGATGAGGGAATTGTATGTGGAATTTATGAAGAACTCTTACAACTCAGTAACAAAAAGATCAATAACCCAATTTAAAAATGGGCAAAAGCTCTGAATAAGCCTTTCTCTGAAGAAGAAATACAAAGGGCCAGTAAGCATATGCAATGCTCAATGTCGTTAGTCATGAGAGGAACACCGGGTAAAACCACTATGACATACAGCTTCACACCACCAGGATGAACATAATAAAACGAACACACACACACACCCGACAAAACAAGTGTTGGTTTGGATGAGGAGAAACTAGAAGCCTCTTACACTAATGATAGGGATGTCAGCGGCTTCTCGAAACACTGAGCACAAAGTTAGCATGTGACCCAGCAATTCCATTCCAAGTACGTGAGTAAGGGAACCAGAATCAAGTGTCCACATAAGCGGCGCCTGGGTGGCTCAGTGGGTTAAAGCCTCTGCCTTCGGCTCAGGTCATGATCCCAGGGTCCTGGGATCGAGCCCCGCATCGGGCTTTCTGTTCAGCAGAGAGCCTGCTTCCCTTCCTCTCTCTCTGCCTGCCTCTCTGCCTACTTGTGATCTCTGTGTGTCAAATAAATAAATAAAATCTTAAAAAAAAAAAAGTGTCCACATAAACACCTGTCCACGAGGGACCCCTGGGTGGTGCAGTCATTTAAGCATCTGACTCCTGGTTTGGGCTGCAGTTATGATCTCGGGATCGTGAGATTGAGCCCCATTTTGGGCTCTGTGCTCAGAGCAGAGTCTGCTTGGAATTCCCTCTCATTCTCCTTCTGCCCCTCTCCCCTGCACTCCCCCCCCCCGAAATAAATAAAATCTTAAAAAAAAGTTTGTTAGGGGTACCTGGGTGGCTCAGTCAGTTAAGTGTCTACCTTTGGCTCAGGTCATGATCCCAGGACTCTGGGATCAAGTCCCGCATTAAGTCCCTGCTGAGCAGGGAGCCCTTCTTCCTCTCCCACTCCCCCTGCTTGTGCTCTCTCTCTCTCTCTCTCTCTAATAAATAAATAAATAATCTTTTAAAAAGTTGTACATGAATGTTCACAGCAGTATTAGTCACTGTCACCAGAAAGTGGAAACAATTCAATTACCCATCAACACCTGAGTGGATAAAAGATGGTCTATCCATACAATCGAATATTGTTTGGCAATTAAAAAAAAGTATGCTACAACATGGGTGAACCTTTAAAAGATTACGCTGAGTCAAAGAGGACAGTCATTAAAGACCATGTAGCATAGGATTCCATGTACATAAAATGACCTAGAGACCAGACAATCCGTAGAGTGGAACTATCCGTCCTTGGAGACAGTAGCTGTGTGGTGGGCTGGGGGCGGGGGGATGGGGGAGCAGGAGAATGAGGAGTGGCTGCCAGCAGGGAGAGCTTCTTCTCAAACTGACCGTGGCGATGGTTGCGCAATTTTATGAATACATCAAAAGCGGCTGAATTGTACCTGGTGAGAGAGGGAGCTCCACGGGATGGGAATTAGCTCCATAAAACTGTTAGATATTAGGAAAAAGGGAAATGAAGTCTACAACCAGTGGTCTCCCAACTTCACCATACCTAAGGATCACTGGGGTTCTTGGGACAAATGCACACTCTGGAACCACTCCCCCTACCACCCCAACTCGAGGTGTCTGGAGATGGGCTTGAGAACCCATTTTTTTTTTTTTAAACCAATACCCCATTTGGCTCTGATACTTCGAGAACCATAGGCCCTTCCCGTGGGAAGTCTGTAATTGCTAGTTCATGGGTTGAACTTTTGTCCATCTCTCCATGAACAGGAGTAGACATGTTCTTCTGGCTGGATCAGCCTCTTTTCTGGAGTCATCCTTCTAGCAATTTTCTAGGTGTGGAGGGAAGACCTGAAAGGTATCTATTTTAAACCTAATATATGTATTTTTGAAAGCTAAATTTCACTCAGTGAAAGCTCCCTGAAGGAACAGAATTTTTATTCTTTAGTAAGAAAATAAAATAAAAATAAAACCCAGGGGTCACAACCCTGAGATCATGACCTGAGCTGAGATCCAGAGTTGGACACTTAACCAACTGAGCCACCCAGGCACCCCGAATTAACAGAGTTTTTTTTAAAAGCGATGTAGAAATGAATTAAAAAGAGCAAAGGTATTAATAGTACACTCCCCTCACTTGACACCCTCCAACTGTGAAATTCCATGGTTTGAAATCACCATTGACCTCCAGTCACCCACTCATCCTAACCTGATGTCATGACATGGGTCTGCACAAAGCCGACCCAGAAGTGTCAAGATGGCTCAGTGTGAACATCAAATCATACAACGTTAGGAACTGGCAGGAGGCCCTGAGACACTGTGAAGCAGAATCATGGCTTAATGGTCCTAATCCCTGGAACCTACAGGGCAAAGTCTTCAGATGGCGTGAAAGTTACTGAAGCAGGAGAGCAGCTTGGATGACCCTGGTGGGTCCAATTGCAAGGGTCCTAAAAAATACAAGAGGAAGGCAGAAGACGGAAGGAGAAAGCAGGATGGAAGCAGGGTCAGAGAGCCTGGATGGTGCAGTCTTTGAAGGAGGAGGGAGGGGGGAGTGGCAGGCTTCCTCCTGAGGCATCCAGGAGGAAGAAGACTAAGGAGCACATTGTCTCTCCTGGAGCTTCCGGGAAGGAACACAGCTCAATGGGTACCTGGTTTTGACCCCATGAGACTCACGTCAGACTTCAGACTTCCAGAACTATAAGACTGTTACAAAGCTGTGTCACTTAAGGCCACTATATCTGAGATTATTTGTTACAGCAGCAATAGGTAACTAATACAAAGTCCGATCCCTTGTTCCTGAGGCTCTGGAAGGCGTGAACCCTGCCTGGCCACTGACGAGGGCTCAAGAGAAGTACCTCCACACATATGGGAGGAAAATGCCACCTACATCCACCAGCATCTGTGTCCTCACCACGACCACAAACCTCTTACCCTCTCCTGGCTGGTTCCCCATGTATCATGGGAACAGTGGCGAATTTGGCAAGGGTTCTGAATAGCAGGTAGGCAAGGGGATGCTGTTAGCCAACTCCTGGGGGTGCCGGCAGCTGTGCCCCAGATCATCGCTGTCCCACGCGGCTCCAGAGGACTGTCTGTGACTGGGCTGCTGGTGGGATGATGGGACCACTCAGGTGCTTCAGTACACATCCTTACAGGGAGAGTCTCAAGGCAGCAGTGATCCAAAAAAGGTCAAGGGCTGCTAGTCTGTGGTACACAGGGGAGACCCTGCCCACCGTGGGAATTTCAGGTAATGCCCCCTCCTTCCCCTCAGCGCCCTGGCCCTTGGGCAGCTGTACTCCTCACACATTGTAATTTGTCATCAGACCTGTCCATGCGGCACCCAAATGGCCCCTCCCCCACGGTTAGTACCACCACCTCGTCAGCAAGCCTCGGGGGGGTCCCCCCCGCCCCAATATCTCACAACTCCAACTGCCAGAGTGGGACGAAGCTGAGGGTGGCTGCTGGGAGGGGGGCAGTACTGGGTGTGGTCAAGGAAAGGCAGACCAGTGCTGGCACCCTTGACTGGGGGCGTCAGGGCTCAGTCCCGAGTGGGGTGGGATGGGGGAAGGAAGAGCCAGGAAGAAGGAGGAGGCCTGAGCTCCCGGACGCAGAGCCGGGTGACCCCCCTCCCAGCATCAGCAGCCCTCGGGACCCCCGGGAGGGCCGGGCAGGCCGTGGGACCCGGGACCCTCCCTGGCCCGCTGGGGCCCGTCTCACCGGGCACGGCTGGGCGGCGGCGGCAGCAAAGCCCTCCCTCTCCGGCGACCGAACCGCAGCAGGTCCCGCAGCCTCCGGCTTGGGGACACGCCTCGGTTCGGGCCGTCACCTCAAGCTGGGGTCACCGAGCGAGCATGCGCAGCAGGGCTGGGCGGGGGCATTCCTTGGGCGAATTTCGATGCTCCGGGTCTTCGCCGCGAGGAGCCGAACTGGCGCCCGGACCAATCCGCGTGCGGGGGCGGGGTCACAGCTCGCATAGGGGGCGGGAGCAACCCGGGATTGGACGGCAGCGCCCGGGGGCGGAGCGCCAGCGAGCTGCCGGCCAGGAATCCAGCGCTGGGCGGGGCTCTCCCAGCATCAGAGGGTGGCTTTGACTGAGACCCCGGGATTCTCCCGGGGTTTGACGCCTGCTAGCGGCGAAGGAAATCAGAGCTTTCTTTCTTTTTTTTTTTTTTTAAAGATTTTTTATTTATTTATTTGACAGAGAGAGATCACAAGCAGGCAGAGAGGCAGGCAGAGAGAGAGGAGGAAGCAGGTTCTCTGCTGAGCAGAGAGCCCGATGCGGGGCTCGATCCCAGGACCCTGAGATCATGACCTGAGCCGAAGGCAGCGGCTTAACCCACTGAGCCACCCAGGCGCCCCAGAGCTTTCGTTTAAAGGCCTCGATCGCGCCTGTCACTTGACTGAGCGAGCGCAGGCGGTCATGCTCAGTGAAACTACTGGCTCCTCTCAGTCCAACATCCTTGACTCAGCATCCTCACCACCGGTCCCTCCCTCGCCCACCAGCCCCTCCCTTGCCCTTCGGTCCAGCCCCTCCTCCCTGGCCTACCCGTCCCTCCTCCCTGGCCCACTGTTCCCTCCCTCGCCCACCAGCCCCTCCTCCCTGGTCCACCGGTCCCTCCCTCGCCCACCGGTCCAGCCCCACCCACAGCTCCCAGGCGCCGGACGCTTGTCGTTCTCCGACCACCTAGTGCGGTGGGGACCCAGACTACAGCGCGGAGCTGTTTTCCTGGACGCTCGGCGGGAGGCGGCCTGAGCGGCCCCAGCATCAGCTCAACTACCGCCAGGTGGCTCCTGGCCGGCCCCAGGTGCGGGGACGGCCCCGCCTCCATTCCGCACGGCTCCCGGCCCCTCCGCTCACCGCGACCCTCCCCAGCCCCGCGGGGACCCCTCGATCCGTCCGCTCCCCTTCGCCGGGCCGGAGCCCGCCGCCTTCCGGCTGCGCGACCTCAGCCTTTGCGGAGCGAAGACGCTGCCCCTCTCCAGAAACCCCGCTGCCCTGACACCCCGGTCCCTGCGCCTCCCTGCTGTTGCCCTACAGCTGCTACTGGAAGGACCCCAGCCCCCGGCTCCGGGCAGGTGCAGGTGCGGGTCCCGTGGGGCCGGCCGGTCCTCCGACTCCTGGCCCCTCTCTGTTCTCCACCAGCTCCAGATACACAGGGACGTCTCAGGGACCCAAATTCACAGAGACCCCTGATCGGGTGCGCTAGAGCTTCTGTCGGGGGAGCGGGCGAGCAGCAGTGGGAACTAACAGTGACGGGAGGGCTGTTGCGTGGGTGGAGCGTGCGACGGGGAGATGCGACCCGGGGGAGGGGGCGCTGCAGGTGGTTACGCTGGAACCCTCGCGGCTCGAGCGCCTACGCCCAGGAGGCTGGGGGACAGCGGCCTGCGGGCCGTGCGCGCCCCCTGCCGGCCTCGGGCCTCCGTGGCAGGGGTGTCTTAGGTCGCGTGCACAGGGGCCCGGGGCTATTCTGTTCGTCCGGTCGTCACCGGAATAATTGAATAATTAAAGGGCCTCCTGTTTATTTTTTCTTTTTAAAAGATTTTATTTATTTATTTGACAAACAGAGATCACAAGGAGACAGAGAGGTAGAGGAGGAAGCAGGCTCCCCAGCGAGCAGAGAGCCGGATGCGGGGCTCGACCCCAAGACTCTGGGATCATGACCTGAGCCGGAGGCAGAGGCTTTAACCCACTGAACCACCCAGGCGCCCCAAAGGGCCTCCTGTTTAGACGTCCAACTTCGTTTCATCGCAGTGTCGCTCCTTCACCTACTCCGAAGTGACACGGATTTAGCCACCAGGCTTTTTTGAATTATTTATAAATAACAGTGAAGCAAATGTGAAGTGAGTCGAGTGTTCATCGAGTGATGAATGATAAACAGATGTCTGTGCCCACAGTGCAGTGTCATTCAGCCAAAGGGCAAATCTTGCCTGATTCCACTGACATGAAATGTCCACAATCGGTAACTCCATCTAGGCACGAAGTGTATTAGTGGTTGCCTGGGGCTGGGGCCGGTTGAAGGGACTCAGGGACTATTAATGGATGTGGACTTCCATTCGTGTGATGAAAATGTTTTGGAATTAAATAATGGTGACGGCCGCACAGCCTTGAGAATACACGGAAAATCACTGAATTGGGGGTACCTGGCTGGCTAAGTGGAGGGACCTGTGACTGCATTTCAGTGTCCTGAGAGCTGCGTGGTTGGGGGTAGAGATTACTTATATAAGTAAACTTTAAAAACCAAACAAAACAAAATTTTGGAGGGGTACCTGGGTGGCCCAGTAAGTTGGGGACTACCTTGGGCCCAGGTCATGATCCCGGAGTCTCAGGATCAGTCTGCACTGGCCGGGGGGGGGGGGGGGGGGGGGGGGGCTCCCTGCTCAGTGGGGGGTCGGCTTCTCCTTCTGACCTTCCCCCATCTCGTGCTTTCTCTCCCTTTCTCAAATAAATAAATAAAATCCCTTTTAAAAAGACTTTATTTATTTGACAGAGAGAGACACAGCGAGAGAGGGAACACAAGCAGGGGAAGTGGGAGAGGAAGAAGCAGGCTCCCCAGTGAGCAGGGAGCCCCGCAAGGGGCTTGATCCCAGGAACCTGAGACCTTGACCCAAGCGAAAGGCAGATGCCAACCAACTGAGCCGCCCAGGCGCCCCTAAATAAATAAAATATTTTTTAAAAGGGACGCCTGGGTGGCTCAGTCAGTTAAGTTTCTTTGGTTCAAGTCATGATCCCAGCGTCCTGGGATCAAGCGCCCTGTGGGGCTCCCGGCTCACTGGGGAGCCTGCTTCTCCCTCTCCCTCTGCCTGCCACACCTCCTGCTTATGCTCTCTCTGTGTGTCAAATACATAAAATCTTTAAAAGAAAAAAACCCCGGGGCGCCTGGGTGGCCCAGTGGGTTAAAGCCTCTGCCTTCAGCTCAGGTCATGATCCCAGGATCCTGGATTAAGCTGCGCATCGTCTCTCTGCTCAGCGGGGAGCCTGCTTCCTCCCTTCTCTTATCTGCCTGCCTCTCTGCCTACTTGTGATCTGTCTGTCAAATAAATAAATAAAATCTTTAAAAAATAAATAAATAAAAGAAAAAAAAACCCCACTGAATTGTATACTCTAAAATGGTGAATTTATGGGACGCCTGGGTGGCTCAGTTGGTTAAGCAGCTGCCTTCGGCTCAGGTCATGATCCCAGTGTCCTGGGATCGAGTCCCACATCGGGCTCCTTGCTCAGCAGGGAGCCTGCTTCTCCCTCTGCCTCTGCCTGCCATTCTTGCTCTGTCTGCCTGTGCTTGCTCTCTCTCCCCCTCTCTCTCTCTCTCTGACAAATAAATAAATAAAATCTTTAAAAAAAATAAATAAATAAAATAAAATAAAATGGTGAATTTAAAGCATGTGATTTAAATCTCTATTTTTTATCTAAATTCAATTTATTAACATATATTATTAGTTTCAGAGGTAGAGTTTAGTAACTCATCAGCTGCATATAACACCCAGGGCTCCTTCCATCACCCAGTTACCCCATCCCCCCACGCCCCTCCCCTCCAGCAACCCTCAGGTTGTTTCCCAGACTTTCCTAGTCTTTCACAGCTTGTCTCCCTCTCTGATTTCATCTTCTTTTTCCCTCTCTCCCCCTATAATCCTGTTTTGTTTCTAAAATTCCACATGAGTGAAATCACTGGTATTTGTCTTTGACTGACTAATCTCACTTAGCATAATACCCTCTAGATCCATCCAGAGCATTGGAAATGGCAAGATTTTTTTGATGGCTGAGTAATATTCCATTGTATACATACACCACACCTTCTTTATCCATTCATCTATCGATGGACATCTGGGCTCTTTCCATATTTTGGCTACTGTGGACATTGCTGCTATAAACATTGGGGTGCAGGTGCCCCTTTGGATCCCTACATTTGCATCTTTGGAATAAATACCTAAGACTGCAATTGCTTGGTCATAGGGTAGCACCATTTTCAACTTTTCA